AGGCCATAGGTATTATCCTCACCATTTTTATTTAATTTTTTAATGTAAAGCTGCTTTTTTGCAGCTATTTATGAGACAAATGGCAAAGGCTGAAAATGGGAAAAGAGGAAATGAAGATTTGATTTATGTGGGAGCGAAGTGTGGAGATAAACTAAAGAGAGAGAATATACAAAAAAACAAAGCGTTTGATTAATTTGATGATGAGTAAGGTTGTATGATTGCGATGGAGAAGAGACACGAGACTTCACCTCTTCTTGGGCTTTTGATTTCTAGAATAAAAAAGGAATCTTAGCCGATAATATTTAGAAAAAATGACACCGGATGACAACACATAAGGGGAGTTGGTAATTTTTTAGCCTTATATTAGGTTTTGACAAAGGTAGCTCCAAATAATTGGCATTATATAGCCAATTCTAAAAACGACCCTATTTTATTGTTTATTCTCCTAACCGTTTGCTGCCCTCCCTCTATTGTTCGCTGGTCCCCTCCCCTTTCTTGTTCTCTGCCTTCCCCCCTCCCTCCCTCCCTCCCTCCCTCCCTCCCTCCCTATTCCAAATGAGATTAAAATGGTGGATTATATTAATGATAACTTCTTTTATGGACCTTTGTCTCCGGCATATTTGTCGACCACAACGGTATACACATTGACTCCGGGCTCTGGTTACGAACGGTACGATATTGTGATTAATAGTACTATCACTTCTACTCTTCCACCACTCATTAATGCTCTCGAAATTTATAGAGAGATATAGTTTGCTAGAAAACCAAAATGTATATGAACAGTCCGTCGTCTGTGGTGTGGAGTGAAATAAAGGATTTTTTCATCGAGGAAATCGAAGGCCGAGATGGAGAATAAGAAGGATAATAAATTTGTGATATATATTTTGCTATACACGTTTTATTATGTATTATACAATATGATATACAAATAATATAATTAGTTTTGTGTTATACACTTGGATATAAAGATAATAATAAATTATAGACAACTATCGAAGAAAAATAAATATTTGATATACACAAAGAAGAAAAATAAAGTTGTGATATATATATTGGTATACATGTTTTACAGTATGATATACAAAAAATAAAATTTATTTGTGTTGTACACTATGACATACAAACTATAGACAACTATCGAAGGAAAATAAATTTTTGATATACACAAAGAAGAAAAATAAGGTTGTGATATATATATTGGTATACATGTTATACAGCATGATATACAAAAAATAAAATTTATTTGTGTTATACACTTGGATATACACTATGATATACAAACTATATTTATAATTTTTAACATTTTTAATGCTTGTGAGAAATAATTTAAAAACCTAGAAAAAAGATTGTAGAGATTTGGAAGAAAATCATGAAAGATTTTTGAATTCTAACAAAAAAGAAATAAAAGCCTATTTTTGAGGTGATGGTTGGGCCACTAGAAGAGAGAGAAGGTCATTAAATTTTAAATTTAGGCTACCTGTGCCACATGCTAAAAGATAGGCTATTTTCTGCCAATTATTGGACTAAGTTGTTATGAAATACCAAATCCTCTAATATTTATTGTTTACTTTTTCTAACCATATACATAGATTATATATTGAACATATATAATTATACACATATAATATATAAATTATGCATATATTATATCTCCACATGCTATTTTTAGTTTAAGTGGTTGAGCGAGCGGCTATTTGGGTTAACTTTTTAGTAGAAGATTTAACTAAATAGTTGCCCACCTAATCGCTCAAACTAAAAATAACATGTGAATATATAATTTACTATGTATAATTCGTGCATCACATGTATATAAATGTATGTAATCATTGAGTAATTTATATATACCTGCTAAAAAAGTAAACAGTAAATCTAGCCGGCTATTTGTGTTTAAAGAGAGAGATGGGCTATCATGACCCGAATAGCACAAAAGAAGAATTGACCTAAATAGCCGTCCATTCAACCGCTTAAATTAAAAATAGCTGGCGAATGTATAATATGCATATATTATATATAATATATATGATCGTGTATAATCTATGTATACTGACTAGAAAAAATAAGCAGTAAATATTGTTGGCTATTTGCGTAAAGATCCCCTATCATAAATCATGACTTTTTGGTTGGAATTTTGACACAGTTACCCACAAAAATAAAACTATTTACCCTTGTCTACTCATTTGCTTTTCTACCCATAAACCAATTACGTTTCCTACCCATAGTAGGTTTTGTGGAAAATTTTCTCTTTGTTCTCCAATTCTTTTTTATTCCTATGCTTCTTTTCTTTTCTTTTTCTTTTCTCCTTTTCTTTTTTCTTGTTTTCTTCTTATTTTTTTCTTTTTTCCTATTCTAATTTCATTTAACTTCTTTTTTTTTTATATTCTTTTTCTCTTCATAATCTAATTTCATTTACTATTTTCACTATTTTTTATTATTCTTTTTTTTATATTATTACTAAAGAAAAATCAAATTATGTACCAATTAAATGTAGCTAATACAACCAAAAAAATATTAACTAACATTTGATACCAGTATAGTATATAGTTATACCAACAGGGTATACAATTGTACGCAAAGAGTTAAAAAAAGTTTAATTCAATTATTAAACTGAAATAATATCAGTTGTCAATACAAAATTTAAAAAAATCTAAAAGGATCTAATTGTAAGAGTATACCGTTACATTACATAGCATACTATAATTTTTTATTTTTTATTGCATTTTCAATTTGCCACTCACGCTAGGTAAAAGCTTAAAACAAATTAAAAGGAAAAAGGCAAGTGAATTTACGGGTAATAAGTATACTATTATAGTATATTGTATACTATTACAGCATATTGTTACAATATCTTGCATATTATTACAGTATACCATAACAATATATTTGTATACTATAATGGTATATTGTTGTAGTATAACTATATACTCCTATAGTTATTAGTATACTGTAGCGGTATACTGTTAGGTAACAGTGTTCTTCTTCGATTATTACTGTAGTTGTGTTCTTCTTCGATTTTCAACTGAAAATTTCGATCTCAATCACCTTAAATCAGCTCCATGTCTTGACCAAACTGACTCAACATTTAGTTACAGTTGCCAATCGATATTTTAATCACGCCAGTCAAAATCTAATCAAATAATTACAAACTCGACAAATGCAATTTATGATTTTTAAATTTCAAGGTCTTTCAATGGTTGATCTAATTTTTCTTGCAATAAATCACTATGAACTTCTCAAAAGATATTAGAAATAATTATTTGTAACACTAAACGTTCAAGTTCTGCTTCGTTGCAGGTACTAATTGTTTTAGTTTTGAAAAATTTGCTAATTACTTTTAATATTAATCATTTAATACTCAATTACTAAATTGTTAGAGTTCTACATTCCTTTTGTTAGTTGCATTTGATTTTTTTTTTTTAAATATTGTTACAGGCCGTTTAGCGAAGATGAAGTACGGAACAATGCTCCGCAGGTGGTGACTTGTAATGAGTACCAAAGAGAAGTAGCTGTTTCACAGAACATTGCTGGGAAGCACATAGATAGGGGTTTTATGTTCGATAAGGTAATTACTAACACCAAAAATGGTTAGCTTCCACTGTTGATTACGAAATAGTTTTTTTTAACCTAATTCATATATTGGGCTCAAATTTATTGTATCTTTTTCGAGCATCTATAATAGTCCAAGTTTCTAAAAAGATGGTTAGCGGGTAATTAATTTGGGCCCTATGGGTAGGAATAGTAAATAGTTTGGGCATGGGCATTAAAGGGTAAATAGTTTGGATTTAATGGGTATAAAGTGAGATTTTCTCTTTTTGGTTGGCTTAACTATTTAGCCAAGATGTACAACTCTCCAAAGCATGTGTAATTGAGAGGTTCGAAATATCAATGTTTTGTTATAGTCAAGTGAAGATTATTCAATGAGTTTCAAACCTGTTTACTTTACACTTATCGAGATTGAGAGTTAAAGAACTAATGAAAACTTCGAAACGAGGTGTCTTGCAGGATTAAGCCTACATAGGGAAAATGAGTAATCAAGGAGACTTGATCATTTGATGGAAATATATAAAAAGGAAATTTGATTTTTATACGCAGCAAATATTATTTACTTATATGACTATTGGATTTTGTATGATCATTTTCTTTTATTTAAACTGTAATGGGTCGATTGGTTGTAATACGATTTATACCGGTATAAATTATGTCGGTATAAGTTATATTGGGATAAGTTATGCCGGGATTAGTTATGCTGGAATTGTTGTTTATTCATTGTTTGGTATGTTATATTAAGAATGACAATTGCATAATTTCTAAGAAGAAGGTATAAGTTATACCGGTGCTAATTACCCCACCTTCTATAAGGTATAAGTTATCCCAGTGTTAAAATTAATACCATGATAACTTATACCTGGTTTGTTAACCAAACAAAATATTAAAGTGGTATTAAATTTTTATACCACCCTTATACCTTCTTATACCTCGTATCAAACGATCCCTAAGTGAATATAAAAGATCATTTCCTAGAAATAGGACTCTCCTTAATATACTAACAATGGAAGAGTGCTAATAAATGAACCGTGGACCTATTTGTTTTACAAATTCAACCTAACTTAAAGTGGTCATTTCGTTGTTAATTTAAGATAGGATTAGCTACTACTCTTTCAAAAATGGGATAAACATATGATACACGTTATAATACATAGAATGCAAGAAAAATAAAATAAAATAAAAAGAGATAAGTTTCCACCTAGCTAACTAGCCAAGGAAGCCAAGTGCCCCTAACATATCTTACTCGCTATACTCATGAATTGACACCTCGTCCGCCTATCGTCAGAGGACTCAATACTCATTGTGTCACACCCAAAATTTACTATGTTGTGATGGTGCCTATTTCAATATTAGGCAAACCGATAACCTTAACAAAACACTGTAATCTTTTAAGTTTGAAAATATAATATTTAAATTCAACATGAAAATCTCGCAAATATTGATATAAAATACTCCAAAACTCCTGTGTCGATGAGTACATGAGCATCTAAATTAACATAGTCTGGCTGATAAAATATTGTTTGAAAAATATAGAACAGTACAAACAACTGAAAGAAAAGAGAGTCAAGGTCTGCGGACACCAATCAGCTACCTTAATAGTCTCCAATAGATAAAAATTCAAAATCTAGCAGCCGCCGTATCCTGGAGTACCTGGATCGGCACACGAGATGCAGAGTAGTATGAGTACAACCACTCAATAAGTAACAAGACTAATCTTTGGGCTGATAGTAGTGACGAGCTCAACAAGTACATACCAGTATAGAAATAACAACAGAAATGTAGGTATGCTTTCAAGTTCAACAGTTAAACTCAGTACAAGTAAAATAGATCAATTCTGAATGATACGAGAAATATATCTCTATATCTACGTGCCAATGTAGATGCTCTGTGTGTTGCACCTCAGTGAAAAATACAAGGGAAAACATTTGGTTTATGAAAATTAGACATGTTAATTCCACTTTTTCAGACATCTCTGGAAACTAAGGCACATTGCGCTACAAGGTGCAGGGAGGTTGATGGACGAACTTCATACCTGAACAGACCTTGTGTTTCACCTTTGTCCAAAATAACTGGATGGTCACATAATGCAAGGACCTAAATAAAAGAATTCACCTTAGACATTGCTCGACGAGAGAAGTAACATAATCTAGAATCAAACAATTTATTCCTACCTCCCTAAAGAAAGTAATAGGCATTGATGATTTCCAATATTGCAATATAAGATCTGCATGAATTAGAGGAATGTAAGAAAAGATGAAGACAACAATAACACTCCAGGTCAACTATATTACGCTTTGATACAAAGAAAATTTCGTTAAGATCTGCAATATAAACCCAACGGGAGTATTTCTACACACTGAAAAAATGATAAGCTTACAGTGGTATTGAAAGGCATTCCTAGTAATCCCTTTGGAGTTCCGCGTGGCATTGGTCCGTAGGTACCACTATCACGAGCAAGGTATCGTCTATGTGTCTTCTTTTACTATATATATACTAGTACCCAATTTTTAAAAATATTTTAACATCCTAACACGCTAATATTACATTAAATCTTAAAATGGCTCGTCTGAGCAGGTGTTTTTGATGGTCAACCAATGGAAAGAGGATTTGACCATAGTTAAAAAATGTGTGGCATGTGCCATTGTATGTCTAAGAAAGCATCGGCAAATACATGTCCAATGCGAACACCACAACAGTTTCTTCATTTCATAATACGAATAATCACTCTTAACAAAAATTTCAGAATGGTTTTAGGACACAAGACTCACAGCTTTCCCATTGTCCAAACTGATATTTGTAACATTTGCCCTATACAGTATCTGACTTCCCTAATTAAGGATTTGGCAATCTCACCAACTCCACCATCGGGATAGTTGATTCCTCCTAAATGTCTGTCACATATAGAACCTTCAGAAAGCAACTCATGAGAAAATGGATATCAAGAAACACAAGAAGGCCTAAGGTTAAATGCAGAATTACCATGCTTGCAATGATCATTGGTGTTTGTAGCGCATTTACTCAGTGGCGGATCTAGAATTTTTTAAAGTGATGGGTGCTCGCCGATAAAAAATCCGAAAGAAGAAGAAAAAAAAGTTTAGTTATGGGTGCTCACTCTACATTTATCTAACTATTTTTATAATTGCCTATGCAAATTTACTAAATTCGGTTAAAAGTAATGGGTGCTCAAGCACCCATAAGTATCCATGTACATCCGCCACTGCATTTACTTGCGCTCACAATAAAACACTGCAAAAGAGAAAATATAGTTGAATTCTTCAAAACGTAAAGAAATCATCAAAACTTTTAGTGAGTTATAAAGTCAATTTGAAATAAGTCTTGCATCCATTTCTAGAACTGCGGGAGCTTAGTGCCACCAAACTACCCTTTTCTAGCACTACGACCGAAGGCACAACTAAAGAAATACAACATTTGTAGGTTAAAAGGAAAAGAGAAAAGAAATTACCGAGAGTCAAGCATGAGGAGCTTCTTAAGAAACTGGCCAAAAAGGAAGATGGGTTCCTCCAAAGACTTCAGAGGATTAAAGATCTGTGCATCCATATTCAACAAATTATTTTGAGTCTAAACCAGGAAGTGCAAAATTTAAAGCAAGCTGCAGTCACCCTACTGCTGCCAGTGCTTGAGTTATCAAATTAAGGTTTCCCTGTCAAAAGATGTGAGACATCCAATCACATGTAAGCACTACAGACCACATACAACAGAACAAAGCATACACCACTGACAGTATAAATTATGTTAATGACATAGTTATCATAGGCAGTTATTGGGATGACATTCTTCAATTGAAACAGAGTCTCTTCCAGAATTTTCAGACTAAGAAGCTCGGAAAAGATTGAGATACTTCTGAGGCATCAACATGGCCCAATCTAGAGCAAAAAACACGCATCAGACATGCATACTCTAGGAAACATGCATGGAAATATTCAACCCACAAACACTTATTAAATTTATAAATTTAGAGCTCCAGAAGGGATAGAAAAGCCTTTCATTGATCCAGGTTAATGTAGATAGACTGTCGGCAAGGTGGAATTACCTCACTACAATCCAATCTAACAATGCTTTGTTGTGAACAAAGTACATTGGTTTACGAATTCCCATGTGATATTCAATAGGATGTTATAATTTTCATACTTGTACACATCTTTCAGGCAATGAACTATTCTATAGTATGGTCATACAAAACATGAACACATCGTTAGCCATACTAGCGCAGACTAGTTAGGTGCACCTTTTGATAGTCGTTCCACCTATAGGTATTGTGTACTTGTTGATGGTACCATGAAAAGTAAGAACTGAAATATAATTGCCAGATAAGGACTATGGTAAGATAGCAAGTGATGACTACAAAAACATGTGAACTGATGCAGTGCAACAACTGTTCTTGGAACTGAAGTTTGAAGAGAGATATCAGAATAAGAACATTACATGTATGCACCAACTAGACCCAAAATGTTAAAGAGCATATGCACGTGTATTGTGTAAATAGGTTTTCTACGGTGCTACTCTTCAGAATTTAGTTACTCAATAGCACGGCATATACAGGGGTGGCTCGAAGGGGAGGCTAGTATAAAGCCTTTGCTTTATGCCACCTAAATTTTTGGGGCCCAAAAATATTTTTTAGTTATGGATTTACTATCTTATTTTTGGTTAGACAATATTGAAGTTTATACAAAAACGAAAAACAAATACAAAATACTTATAAAAAAGGAAAGAAGGACTATCTATTTTTTAACAATAAAAATATTTTAGAACTTTGAATTAAGATACTCACATTTTCATATTGATAAATAACGTTTATTACAATAAGATCCAAGGTAACAAATTGTAAATACGTGGCTAACATCTTATTAACTTGAAATTCCTTACCAATGTGAATATTAATATTATATTTTATAAGATAACTCCTCTATAGACAAAAAGTAAGAAATACAAAAAGAAATCAATGTAATATTAATACTATATTTTGCAAAATAACTATACTATAGGCAAAACAAAAAATTAAGGCCCCCCAAATTCTAGGAAGACCTAAATTTGGGAAAATAGTGAGTTGTACATATTATTTGCCTCACCTCCACAGTCCGCATCTATGCAGGACAGCAACCCGGGATCTCTTATATAGTTCTGAGCAATGTCACCTGCATTCTGGGGCAAATAGTAGGATAGAAGGATATTGAATCAATCTGTGCTGCACAAATATCAGCATGAAAAATGACTCTATAATTAGAGAGTTATTCTTAAGTTAGTCCGCAAGATGGATATTGGCAAATACCATCATTTCAATCCGTACAAGACACTTTATTTTGTCCAATTTGTTCCCGACAAAGCCTTGAAATGCTAAACGTATTACATCCACTATCTCTAGACGACATGTAGGGCAATTAGGGTGGTGGTGGATATTAATAAGAAAGGCTGAATAGCAGTCACCGTGAAAAAGATGCGTATAGCACAGTAAAAGAAACGCAACTTCTTCACCGTCTTTGAAATCGTTCAGACACAAAGGGCAATTTTGTTCATTCAACCAAGCAAAAAATGCTATTTCCGGAGATCTAGGTTTATTAGGTAAGAGGAGAGGGGCGGCGGCTCTGAAGGTTTGGAGTGATATTATGATGGAGATTACATCTATATTATATTAAAAGCACGAAGGCCCTTAGCGAAATGTCGTTCGCCTTTTTTACCCATTAAAAATAGATTCCACAGTGGATAAATTAGTAATTTAATTATTAGTTTAAAATCAATTAAATTATTAATTATAATTATTAATTCTTTCCTTATTTAAACTATGTAAAAAATCTAAATATTTTAGGAATTCAAAATCAATTATGATTTTCTTTACATAAATTCTTTCCTTATTTGAATTATGTAATATAATTTTTATTCCTTCCATATTATTTGACTTGATAGTATAAAAAGACTTGCTAATTAGTAGTACTTTGCCAACTATATGTGATTGCTCCTTAGTAGGTGAGTTCTTTATACTTTTTTTCGATCGTTCTATAGAATATTGTTGTTATCTTTGGAGTTTTTTTTTTTGTTTTAAATACTTTTATATGGCTTTGGAAGAATTATTTTTCATTAATGTCTTTCTCTTTTCTTATTGACCATCCAATTCAACTTTTTTAGGAGTAAAAGAATATGTTGATTTTGGATTAAAGATGTTACACATTTAAAGACTAATGTAGTTCAATATGGATTTCTGTGTCTAATCTGCAGGTTTTTTTTCTTAGTCAGAAGCTTCTAAAATCTTTGAGGCTACCTTCTTTCATGTTCTTACTTTACATCCAATTTAATTTTCGTTTATTAATAAAAGATTATGCCTTTTGAGATATTGGGTTAAAAGAGAATTTCTCACGTTTGACAAAAAAAATCCAAACACCATTGTAATTCCTTCTACGTTACCATCAAATATTTCATGATTAAGATGAGCTAATATTAAGAATTTTGATCAATCTATCCATACTATATTAAAAGCATGAAGTCCCTTAGCGAAATATTGTTTGCCTTTTTTACTCTTTAAAAACTAATTTCAGATTGGATAAAATTGTAATTTTAGTTGTTTTCCTATATTTACGACTTCTAAATCAAATAAAATTTTAGTTATTAAATGTTTCTTTTTTGAACTAGGTAAGAAATCCTAATATTTAGAACTTTAAATAAATAATATTATTTTTCCATGTTTAGATTTTGCAGAAGTTGTAAAAGTATGTATAACAACAAATATATTACCAAGCACACTATTATGATAGATAGTGGGTACAAAGTTTATGCGTAGAACAGTGGCTAGCACTTTAAAAATTTATCCCATTTTCAAAATCAACTAAAAATTTGTTATCCTTTGAATCATGTAAGAAATTTTAAACATGAATTTAAAATAAATTAGTATTTTAATTATCTAATATAAATTATTTACTTATTTAGAGAAGATGTAACATAATTGTAATCTATTAATTTTAGACGTAATATAATGGTTAATACTATAGAGAGTTATCCCTTTTTGAAATTAATTTTAATATTATTTATGAAATCATTCATTATTTAACTATGTAAGAAATCTTAATATAGGACTTTAAAATCATTTAATATTTTAATTATCTAATATAAATTATTTATTTATTTGGATGATATAACATAACTATAATTCTTTTCATGTATATATATATATATACACACTAATTATTCTACATATAAAGATTCAAATGTGAAATA